AGGAATACATAGCAAGTGTTTCTCTGATACATGGGAACGTACAATATCCCATAGTTGTTAACGAATCGGGTAGACCTTCTGCTCCTCTACCTTGCACCACCGCTACTCAAACAGCTGCTGTTAGGGATGTAAAATTAATTTATCCGTCAGTTCCGCAGAGACCAGAGAGCATTGAAATGTCACAGTTTTAGAAATCTAAGTGATCTCAGACATACTAGTGTCCTCTTGTATAAATGTTGATGTTATATTGTATTCAAAGATGTTGATTATACCAGATGTCGATTATATTATAGATGTTGTATACATGAATATATGGTATACAAATGTGTGTACTTATGAATTGATGATAAAATGTATTGAATTTATGAGAGAAAATATATCTGTTATATGTTACAGGTATATTGAATAAGGTGCATTGCATTGCATCGCAGGTTGTTTTTGATTGTTTAAAAATGTATACTGTATTGGTAGATGCAGATGTTATATACATAAATATTTGTGAGAAATTTTACTGATAGAAATATGTATGTTGTGGCATGTTTGATGTCTTCAATACTTGTTGATGGACCGTAACCATCATAAAAGGGAACATTTGGTTATACCCTACATAAATACATGTTCAGAAAGGTAATATTAAGTTGATGTTGTGTGGAAAAAAAAAATTTGTAATATGTTGTATACAGTTTTAAATTGAGGTGTTGATTATGAAGCATGATATAGATACCGTAGCTATTTGCTTTGAAATAGTTAAAGTGATACCTAACCAAAAATGAATGTTCTCAACGTATATAATGTACCGTAGTCTACATACTGGCAAGTTATGCAAAAACCTAATCAGTCTGATTGCAAATGTAAATAGAACTGCTTGGCCGCAATCAGACTATACGCTTTAAACGTGCCATGATAGTTCACGGGGGTTTGGTGTGGCTAGCTCGTACCCCGAAGTTTAGTGCAATTTGTGATATCGTTTGTGATTCCAATTACCTCTATAGAGCATATCGCATACATTACGCATATTTCACTTATCGCTTATCACGCACTTGCTTGGCTAGTCACCGGTCGTTGACCACAGGGGTACACCTCCAATAGTTAGACGTCCGTGTAAGACATTGTTGTGTCCTGCTATATATATATCTCAGTATTGTGAGTAATTATATTGTGTTTAGTTATCATCAATTACCTATAGACTCAAAATGAATAGAAATAGGATTACTGGTGCTTTTAAAAATTCCACCAATCATGGTGAAACTGTCACCATTACGCAGAGACAGGTGAGGACATGGGCAGAATGGTCCTTGTTCTTTGCACAACTGTTGACTTTATACTGTGAAGTTGACATGCCTAGAGTTATTTACTTAGAGGTACCAGAACTGATATCTCCCTATATTCATAAGGAGATTTTGGCAATCTTCGCTTATGATTTGAAGGAGCCTATTTTCGACAACCGGTTGCCCATTGCCACCACTATGAAAAATAGACGGTACCGAAAATTTCAAATTCGACCCATAACCATGGTCATATATGGGATGTATTTCGGCTTCTTTGACATAGTTAAGTTAGGATTAGTCGGCATGTTGACACCGTCTAATGTAGGAGATTCTCTTATGATTTGTTATGCTTCACCCTATCGAAAAAATTTGATGCCCTTCTTCTATGCTTACTTGCGAGGAGCTGGGTATACTACTGATCAAGTAAATAAGTTTTGTGTATTTGGGGATGAAGGTAATTTAAACATTCAGCTTAGGTTGCGGTGGACACCACTTGCCCACAATGATCATTTCCCTTTCCACAATACCTGGAAAAGGTGTGGATATTGCCTGGAGGACTTGCTGGATGTGGACCCTTATGCAAGTAAGGGCTACGAAGTACAGCATTGTGCGTGGTGCAAACGCATGTACCATGCAACATGTGCCATGCATGTGTTGATTATTTCCAAAAAGGTCAAGTTTGTGTTAAGGGATAGTATTGCTGGCACATTAGGCAGGATGACAGTACAGGACAATGGACATTTGTTTGTTGATAGCAATAATGCACTTCGGTGTGAAGTATGTCAGGTTAGGATGGATGCTAATATACGAGGGGATATATCAGATACTCTGGCACTACCCTATTTTGAGGCCCAAAGAAGGTCCGGGACTACCACCAGCTATGCTTGTGAGGTGGTCCGAAGTTTATTTCCAGATGGCATGGCATTTGGAATGATAGGGAATGAGTTCCAATTCCTCATTCCAGAACTCCAGATGGACGATCCTCTCGAACATCAGGACTTTTATGCAACCATCTCAGAATATCAGTTAGAATTGCCTGACGCTTCAGAAAGTCAAACTTTCCACTATCGGACTTGTAGGGATGAGCAGCCTCATTCTACAAGATGGTGGAGAGCCGCTTTCCTTGTAAATTTTTCTCATTTGATGGTACATCACTGGCCTTATTCAGACCAGTTTATTCGAGGTGGATTTTTCCCAATAAGAGCAAGTCCACCTCCTGTTGTGGTCCCTAATATACCGGTAGTTGATAGTGACAGTGACAGCGAAAGTGACGCTTCATCAGACTCAGGTCTACACTTTAGAGTTAACCCTGACGACTTGGACTGGTTAATCTAGGGAGTAATAAGGATACATGATTAGGACATTGATGATAAGTTGTTAGTTGGTGTTGTGATTTGTTGTGCCTGAAGAAAAAAAAAGCTCATATGTCTATTTATATATACCTGAAGCTTAAGCATTGAGAATCTGACTATCTGCATCTACCGAAGAAAAAAATTTTTTTTTGTAAACCTGAAACCTTTACAAAGAATGATAATTTGATTATATCTTAATAAGCTTCAGATGTTATTCTCAGATAGGTACAACCCAAGACAGATCCTATCTGAGACATTTCTTTGTAAAATTTTATTGTGTTGATTTATCTGGTCCTCAGATACATACATACACATGTTGTTACTTACTGATATTGTACCATTGTATTTACATCTTATATTTTATTATCATTGGTCAATCGCATGGGACATGCTCTACAACGGGAAGGGCATGTGTAACCAGGGTATTTTGGAAAAAGGGTTTTTAATATTTACTTAAAATGTAGTTTACTAAATTGAGCTTTTGGATAGAATTTGGATGCATATGAGAGAAGTGACCGTACGGGGTGAGGGCATAACCCCCAGGACATATGATTATTGATTTTGCTTCTCTTGAGTGATAGAGATGGCTTTTCATCAATCTGAGGAAATTGGTAGTATACGGTCTTGTAGTATAAGGAAATGAATCTGATGGGACAGAAGTTGGTAAGTCCGGATGTGATCAAATATTTCTGTAAGCTACTACTGACTTGAATGTCTAAATAACAAGCTTCATTTGAATCACAATCTTTTCGGTGCCTTCCAATCTGGCAGAGTATTGGGTTTACATCTAGGGTTGTTTTGAGTTGAGGGTATGTTCGGTTGACCAATGATTTGACCATTAACTTAGGAAATTAGTTGAGTGTTTGGTTAAGAAGAACTTGATGGAAAGACTGATTGAAATGGGAATTGGGGGTACATAGAGAAGTGAGCGTTAGGACTCATTTCACATGACGTCAAATACTATTTCGGTGTGAGGAGAAATTATTATCATGGAGAGTATTTAGGGGGTTGTCCGAGAGTAGTGCGGGGAGTCGGGAGCAGACAGCTAAACAGAAAGGTTCACCGTGGTTTTGGGATCCCGAGTCAGAGAAGACGTAGAGTTAACGTTCATCAGAAAAACCATCAGGCTCTTCAACCATCACCTAGGTATGTGTTGTATTTATATCAGGCAACAACAAGAACTAATCTGAGGACCATGTGTACATGTTTATGATTAATTATATCATAAATAAAAAGAGGCTGGAGCAAACCATTTGACTTGTGATTTTCAAGAGAGCTACATCATCCCTAGAACCAAGGAGCAGTGGATAAGTAGAAGTGACCATAGGTAGAAGGGTAAAGTACCCGGAACCTAAGGTTACAATACATCCACTGATGCTTGAGAGGAGGGGGTGTCGCATTCATATTGAGTCGCATTTTTGGCAAGGCACCAATGGTCACATTCTTTTGGAGGCGCATTAATTTCACGATTAACAGTATTGAGACAATACACTGAATTAATGATGCAATATATGTGACATTACTTTACTCATGATAGATATTTTTTATGAAATGATACATTTTACAGAATAAAAGAAGGAACATCAGTCAGGCCATATTTTACTTCTTCTTTTGGGGGGTTACATATTTTGATAATATTTGGCCGGTAGGTTTAAGAAAATATAAGGCACTGTACAGGATTTTTTTAATCAAAAGTTTGATTTGGATCGGTAGGTGATAACAATTTTTTTAAACCTGGCCTGATTTGGGTCCTATTGGTATTATCACTATTTGCCTTGTAATAATCTTGAAGGGCTGGGGTATATAGTTAAAGGAATTCTGTCTGTCCATTCTTCTGAGGACATTTTTTAGTGCAACCTATAACTTGAGAACTAATGCATGGATTCTTTTCAAACTTGGTGAACACTTTCTATCCCAATAGGAGGAGTGTTTTGCAATATTAAAATTTTCTGAGAAATAACAGCTATTTTTCCTTTTTTTAACTTTTACTTCATAATTTGTGCAACTCCTAAACTTGAAAACCAGATGGAATCTTTTCAAATTTAGTGAATAGTTTCCATACAAATAGAAGAGGTGCTGTGCAATGTTAGATTTTGATATGTGGATTTTTCAGAGAAAATATGAGTTCTTACATGTCTGAACTTGAATGGTTTTTTTACTTTAACATTTGTGCAACTTATAGCTTGAGAACTACATTGTGGATTCTTTTCCAATTGGGGGTGCAGTTTTTATACCAATAGGAGAGTTGCAGTGCAAAGTTTGATTTCGATAAGTGAATTTTCTGAGAAAATATTGCTTTTTTCATGCTTTGAACTTGTAACTTGGCGTCGGGGTATAAGTGAGCCCTGCTCACCTTTGACTTGTTTCTGATGTATTTTAGAGAATAATGAGAATAAAGATACCAGTGGGTCAAGCATGTTTCCAAGGCGACGGAAGCTTGAGGGTCGAGGAGCTTCCAGAATGTTGCAGAGCCTGTACAAGACTCTAATGATTCAAACTGCTGAGTGTGTCCAAGAGAGACTGGATGAGACAAGCTTCAAACTACAAGGTAGCACACTAAGTCTTTTAGTAGATACTTTAAAAAAAAATTGTGGATCCGTGAACCCCCAAAAAAAGAACTGGATGAAAGTTAAAATTATGAACAGAACACATTTTTTTTATATTTTGCCAAATGCAAATGTACTCATAACATGATTGACTTGAGTGAACAGGACTAATTGGTAACATACTCAGAATAACAAACCTGTGAAGATCCGGGGTAGAATAGTTCTTCAGCAACCCATGCTTGCCGTGACAGGCGACTATGCTTGTCGTAAGAGGCGACTAATGGGATCGGGTGGTCAGACTCGCTGACTTGGTTGATGCATGTCATCGTATCTCATTCGCATAGATTGATGTTCATGATGTCAATCACTGGATTGGCTGGTCCAGCTGGAATATTGCTGAGTGCAGCGTTAAACAACAAACAAACTTAACAGAAGAACAAAAAATCTGAATGTAGGTTTTCTTTACCAAGAAATTAAAAAAACCATCTCTAACCATCTAACCAGTGTTCTCAACCTGTGATCATATGCCAGATAACCCCTGGCCTAACTTATTTGATGTCCCCATAATTAGCAAGTGAGCTACTGAACCAGTGGTGTTTGGATCCAGGTTGCCATCATGCAGATGTAGTGTCAAGGGCATATTCACTGTTGCAAAACTTAAACACTACGAAGGTACAACTAAATAGTATTGCAACAGTTTGACAAGTACCTTTAGCTTACCACAATGTAGAGAAAGGGTATGGGCAGTCCAGTAGTCTAAGGCACCACAATCACTGTGTATAGTTGCGTTCCAAAGGCATGCGAGAAAAGTATTTTCAGGAGTTCGAATCCTGGTTTCTGTCAAATGTTTGTCAGCACCATGCTCGTGGGTTTCAAGAAAGTTATAAGCATGAGACCTGCATCACTTCGGGACTTCTACGTTAATGGCTTAATTGCCATGGTATAACTGAAATACTGTTCAAAGCATTCTTAATCCCAGCTTACTTACTAACTCCAATCCAATCCAATCCAGTTCTTTCGCAATGCATTGGAGATTTCCATGTATTGTTAGACAGAATGAAAACATTCCAGAATCAGCAAGTAAGATTTTCAGGAGGTATGGAGGTACATCTGATAAATGATATATATTTTTCTTTTTTTATGGATACCCACATGTCTCTTCAGAGAAGATTTATTTTGGATCAAATGACTGGAACAGTTATACAGGAACAGTATTTTTTACATTCCATTACTTCTCTTGATACTATCATTGGTAAATACTGATATTAACAGCCTGTTTCGTTGGAATTTGATCATCACTGACGCTGCAGGCAGTAATTTCTGTATTGACTTCAACACAAGATGACATCATATACATATGGCATAGAGTGAATTCTTTTGGCACATGTCATAAACAGGTCAAGGTTACAAAATTGTCTTTTTAAAAATGTTCATGCATTTATATTAAATTTGGTACAGTAAACTACGTTTACAGCGAACTCAATGGGACCACTAATTTTAGTTTCTTATAACCATGGTTCATTATAAGCATATGTACAGGATACAGACAGCAAATGCCGGAGACCAAAAAAACAGTATGTCATATCTGCCAGTTTGTTATAAGTGTGTTCGTTATAAACATAGTTTCCTGTATATACTTTCTCAAGGATCAGGCCCTGCTTCAAAATGGATTTCGTAAGTATTTGTCCAAGGTCAAGGTCAATGTTCAGGGTTTGTGAAAAAGGTTGTATCAGGCATGGGACTTTATGTTTCTTGAGACATCCGATCTCATCTAATGTTGATGCTATGTCTATCAACTTCAAGGTCATCTTTGAGGTTACTGTAACACATGGTTGTATCATTTCACATTTTACAATCCTCAGACTTGGTAAAAGTCTTGACTCAGGTCAAGGTCTGGAAGTACTGTTCTTGGAATGGCACATGTTGGTATTTTAAGAATATAGGAGTTTTGAAGAAATGGTGTTTGAGGGGCTGCTTCAGTTTTTGCAAGTATGTCACAGATACATATCAGGCAATAAGCTATCACAATTTATTGATAATTCTATCAGTTGTAAAACCCTAAACTGCAGTATTAGAGACGTCAACATAATACCTCATGTTTTACTATTTCATATATGCTAGAGATGTGTTTGTGTGAATTCAGTGACCTTCAAGCAGGATGAAAATGTGAACCACGGTGAAGAACAAATGGATGAGCCTGATGAAGAGCAGGAGAGTAGAGAGGCCAATGATGATAAACCTGAGACATGGAAGGACATATCTGTTTTAGGTGAGAAAATTTCATTTAAATGGGATTTGTAAAGATCTCAGTTAATTAATTCTGAATTTTGATGTATTTTTCATATGTCTTTGGTAAAGTCTTAAAGACATGCCTCCTTATGTTTAGTGTAAGACTTTATATGACTGACAACCAGTGAGCTTCAGTTGTCGAGGTTATTCCAGGATCTGATGGTGGATTCCACATTCTCTTCAATTATCATCCTTGGGTTGTCCAATCTCATTAAAGTCAGATCTTAGTTCTCGCTGCCGCTAAACAAAGATCTGAGGACATCCCATTACGGGTAACGTCAGACCGACCTTTCGCGAACTCTGACCAACCAATGGAATTACTGACAAGAAGTCAACTTAAGCCAATCAGAAGGCAGCTTTCTCGTGCTTTACGGCACTAATTTCAAATTGGCAACCTCGCTTCGAAACATATTTTGAAACATTTTCGCTTAAAAATTTGAAACCTGAACAAACGAACATTCTCGAAAGGCTAATATATGGTCTAGATTGTATAGATTCGGTTGTTAAGCCCGTAACTATTGTTCAGAATACCCTGTTTTAAAGTTTTTCGAGGCTGCATGATGAGAAATCACATTCCGACTGTCACTTTCATGATCTGGTAAGCGACGCTCTGATTGGTCGGATGAAAGGTCGTTCTGACATGACCCCTAATGGGATGTCCTCAGATCTTTGTTTAGCAGTAGCGAGAACTAAGATCTCATTTTAATGAGATTGTGGGTTGTCAGAACCATACCTATGTTCTAAAGTTGCAAGAAAGTGGAAAATGTCTTACCTGCATCTCTGCAGAATACTGTTCAAAGTGACTCGTCCCTCACCCCTTGGAAATTACAGGTTAAAATTGGTCCCCAGCAACCCATGCTGTTCATAAGAGGCGACTTAATGAATAGGATGGTCAGGCTTGGTGATTCCGTCTCCTAGTACCCTCATGGAGTGGATCATTGCTCATGATATCAATTACTGGAATGTCTGGCCCAGATTCGATTATATACAGGCCATTGTTTTGCTTAAGTATTGAGTGCAGTGTTAAAGCAACAAACAAACCATGTAATGACATAACTAGAATACTGTTAAGAGGAACTCACTTACACATTCCACTCTCTGTGGTTAGAACTGCCAAGATATCTGTTCTTCTTGTACAGGGTGGGATGGTCAGGTTTGATGACTTCGTAGATTACATGTCATTGTACCCCCGTCAGATAGATTGGAACATTACTCACAATATCAATCACTGGTTTGTTTGGTCAATTATTTTCAAACCTCCATCATATGGCTGAAATATCACAGAATGATTCTAACATGTTCTCTTAATCATCGTTACAGTAAAGTACACAGCAGAGATGGAGAAGGACAAGGATGAAGAAGACATTAAGGTCAAGGAGCAGATATCCAGCATGGTGCAGTTCCTTGACACAAAGATCTCTCAGCTTCAGGGGGAAGCCAGTGATGTCCACAGGATCCTAAAAAAGACAATCAAGAAAATTAAAAAAAAGATGCTGATTTTATCTGAGTCACAGAATACTTAAGTAGACTATCAAGAAAATCAAAAAGAATATTATCATAAGTCAAAGGAACTTTAAAAAGACAATCAAAAGGAAAATTCATATGTTATCATAATTTGAAGGATCCTTACAAAGACAATCAAGGTCAAAAAGAAAATAGCCCATATTATCATGAATCAAAGGATCCTTAAATAGACCATCAAGATCGAAAAGAAAATACCAATAAGTCAGTGTGTCAGTAATGAATCAGCTTCATTTTATATAACACTGAAGTGTGGAAACTAAGGACTAACCAGAGGAAACTGGTTTGAAGACCAACAGTGAAATGTTTTGAACCCACATTTGGCATCCTGCTAATGATATAAATACAATATTGCAATGAAAGCATGCAAAGTCACACTCAAGTCACAAAGACAGTACCGATAGACTGTCACAGTACAGTAGGTAACTTGATGGTAAATAAGATCAGTTTGTTTTGTTAGGAAAGGTATTCCATCATTTTCGGGAGTAAATGGAGGCCATACCAACATATATTTGGTAAGTCTCAGTCCATTAGAAAAAAAAGGCTTGTGAACAGGTCAGAAAATCGAATTTCAAAAATTAATTTTCATACCATCTGAAATCTGAAATGTTCTTGTGTATAATTCTATTTCAAATTGATACATCACTTCATATCGAAGTAAGTGTTATTGTGATGAACTGAACCTTTTGGAAATGGTCCTACACACTGTTACACACATCTAAACCAAACCACCCTCCCACTCGCTGACTCACCCTTGACCAACCATCCACTTACTCAATCTCTCATAAACTAATCTATCTCACTTTCTCATGTGACGATAGATATTCCTTCATATTCATCGAACCGTTACTAAGATATCATATCATACCGGTACATTTTTTTTATCATTCAAAAATCACCGGCACCAATAATGGTAACAGTGGATGAAATCCAATTGGTGTTCATGGCAGTCCATTGTTTGGTAATGCTGCCTCATTTATCAAACATTGTTCTATCTTTGAGAGAATAATTTTATTAGTTTCAACAAAATCAGTAAATGCTCGTGGGGCTCAATATAATCTTTGCCATATTTTTCATTTTTGACCTTTGCACTTTGACCATACCGAAAGCTAGATCTTCTTGTGGTCATTATTTTCTTCTTCAAAAATGTAATGAAATTTGGTATATGTGTATATTTGGTATATGTTTTTTTGCTATATTTAGAATGTGGCCTTTTTCACTTTGACAATGTGCCCAAGTTTTCAAAATGCATTTCCTCCGACTGTAAGCATCTTCTGAGAAACTAAAAAACCAATGAAGTTCACATGCTTGTTCCCATCAATTATGGTACCAGTTTTTGTTCTAGAAGTTTGAATCTGATTTTCACTGCGGCTGCAATGGCTGCCATATGAAGAATGCTGTCTATGGGCAATACTTTTTAGCTCACCTAGCTTATGTTGTTGCAAATCTTTTTCAGCATCATCTGTGTTGTCGGTTTTGTGGTCAATAAATGTTTACATTTTCGACTTCTCCAAAACGCCTGGATAAGTTCAGCTGAAATTTTGTGAAGAAGATTTTTTTTACCATAAGTGGTTTCAAATTTGTACAAGGCATCAAAATTGGAATTTCAATATGGCCACCGGGTAGCCATCTTTAATTAAATAAACAAGAACAACTCAAATATTTGCTCCCCAAAACATTAAGAGCCAGGTGGCATATGGTGGGTGAGATTATAACCTTGCAAATTACCACATTTGTTCAAGAAATTTTTATTTAAAATCAAATATGCCTGCCTGTCGCCATATTGGAAAATAGAAAACAAAATTCATGAATCATCCGTTCTAAACATCTTCGCCAAAGAAACCACTGGACCAATAAAGCTGCTTCTTCACATGCTTTCACCCACAAATAATGACACATGAATTGTTTAAGAAGTTTGAATCTGAATTAAAATATGGCAACTATGGCAACTATGACAGCTATATTGAAAAACCTAATTATGGTGTCTGTTCAACCATTTCTGTTCAAAATGTTTGGATCTCCAAAGATAACATCATAGTTTGTTCAAATCATCAGGTGTTTAGTGTGTTTTTGTGTGACATTTGGAGAATTTTAAAGCATTAGAAAAGTTATTCAATTATTGCCCTTAGAATGTTTATGAGGTTCAGAGTTGAAACTGTGTGAAAAGTAAATTTATTTATTGTGTATTACAACAATGTTACACTATAGTACATTCATTCACGCAATTTAGAAACGTCAAAAGTTAGTTTCTTGCTTTGTGAATATGTTTGTCCTCCATATTTATACAAAAACATATTTGAATTGAATGCCGACAGCAACTTATTTTTGAAGTTGCAGATTTTGTTGATATTTTAGCTGTTGAGTACATATCCAGGTGAGCTACGGTGCACTATTGTTTTCAGAATATAACAAATTTTGATACATAGTTTTTAGCAGGGCTCAGTTTTCAGGGTATTTTTATTGCAAAATACTTTAATTATTTACCTTAATTTGGACTTACAATTTTGGCCATACTGAAAGTTCTTATGGCCACAGCTTCGCCATGTTTAGTATTGAATGTAATGATATTTGATATTTGTTTGGTTAGTGGTGAGATTAAGCTCATTTTCTGGTTTACTGTTTTTTTAAATTTGTTATTTTTTAACCTTGCTCTTGAATTCTCTAGAAATGTCCATGTGGCTCTGCAAATGTCTTGTCCTCTATAAATGCGGAAATATCCAGACTGAGGGAGCTGAACTGTATGTTTCTCCTTGTGATGACCTCATATTTTGTTCAAGTCATTTAATTTTGGTGTGAGACCTTCTTTTTTTTTAAGACACTGTTTGAAATTCAATGCTGACAACAACTTTTGTTAAGTGGCTGTCTCTATTGACATTTAATTGTTGACTTCATATACAGGTGAGCTACAGTGCCATGTCACTGTCACAAATGCAACAATGGACTTTTTCAAGGTTAGTTTTTTTAATTAATGTGTGCATAGTAATATGCATAATTGATAGCTGTAATGAGTGTACCTTGATAAGTACTGGTATCATGTAACATTTCTAATTTGAGCAAGAAGTACCCTTTTTTATTTAACATTCAATTTGTTTAAATGTCAGATTGTGACATAAATATATCATTTATCCACCATTAACAATACTTGCTACTAACTTTTATTTTATTCAAAAGTTTTTTAGGGGAGAGCAGGAGAACACTGGTAATGAAGTGCTCTCCTCAAGTTCACATTCTGTATTGCCAATTCTCTAGAAGCCCTGAATTGTTTTATGCAAATGGTTACCAAACTCAACAAAACAACAATGTATATGGATGATATTGTTTTGTGACTGCATCTTTAGGCACATGGCTGCGGCACAACTCACCAGGCAATGCGTTGTATTATATCCTATCCAAAGATGGATGTACAGCATCTTGGTGAATATATGCTGTCGTAATTGCTACATATGTAATATGTACATGTAATATTACTGACTTTGAAACATTCACTCACATATTCATCTAATCATTTATTCATTTAATAATTCATTATTGTATTATTGTACACACTCTTAGACTGGGTCAAGATGCCTTACTCATTTATCTGAGTTGTAGATTAATTGTTTCATTTTATGAAGTTCATTTCACTTTTGTTTTAGTACTTTTAAAACTTTTTCATTAACTCATTTTGTTATGATTTTGAACTGTTTCTCCAGTTATGCTGTTGATAGATGTAGATATTTCGTACAGTTTATATTTATTGGAAGGACTTAAGTGTCAAATCCTATTACAATAATATTGGTATTTTATGTCCAAAATGCAAGGTGATAAAATATATATTTGAATATTGACTTGAAAATTCTCAAGGATTGATATGTTACTTCCATAAAAATATATTGACATTTGTTTTGAGACTGATGCTTCTGTTCATTATTAAGATATTCATGATGTTGTTTTTAATATTCCAGGTTTTTCATTTATCATTAAACAATTTCCTTGAAGGCAGAGTTTTTTTGGTATGTTCTGTCACTCATGTCCACAATAAGCTGGGAACAGGTTGCCTAGTCCTCTTAAATGTTGTGCAGAGTAGCCTTCCTTACATACTCATGCAGGATCTGCTTTCAATTCAAGATTCACCCCAATAATGTTGTAATACTGCTGAAAGTAGCGTAAAACCAAACTCCCTTGCTGGCTCTCACTCACTCACACTTAAACCTTTGTTCAGTGAATTTCCTTTGCAGTGACTTTCAACTGGACACGGTTGAAAGGTGACAACTGTTGATGAAGGTCATTATTAGGGGAGGATCAAAGGGTAGAAATAAGAATGACAAGATTGGTTCATTAAGTAATAACTTTTTTGGAGTTTGACTCCAGAGTTTTTATTTTCGTATTTTTCTGTTTTCAAGAAAGAGGCCGGAAGTTGTGGAGGGTAAATGTCCAAGACCTGCATTATTTTGGTGTGTTTTTTCTGTCACATTAAGCTGACAGGTGACATAACTGAAATACACTGACATACTGCTGACATAAAGAAGTGTCCATCTTCAAATACTCACTGAATTAATGAAACAAACCAAATATTATGAAATTTGAACATTTTAGAAGTCAAAAATCAAATAGTGATAATTAAGTCAGAATACATATTTCATGAGTTGGTGAGGTGAAATGGGGTTTAACCTGCTTTCAAGATTATTGCACTTATATAGCGACGTGTATGCACGTGTGTGTGTGGCAGCTTGTACTAGTCGGGACTTATGCCGAGTTTATAGTGCTTTCCCAATGAGATACCATACCGCAGTTTAACATGAATACCCCCACTCAGAAACAGTATACTGACTCCGAGCCGACAAGTCATTGTTAGCTCCAGGCAGGATAACATCTTTTGGTATCGAACACACGACATTCCACTCACCACTAGACCACGGAGGCGGTCACACATATTTCATGAAGATGCCTTGAACGGTTTCTGTGATCCAGACAGGCAAAACGGATGTGTATGGGTGTTAATACTTCTATAAATTTACTATTG